TGCAGATGGCGGCCCCTCCCTAAGCCTGGTTCTGCTGGAGGTTCCTGCCAGTTAAAGGGAGTTTTTCCTTCCCACTGTCGCCAAAACACTCGCTCATAAGGAGTAATATGATTGTCGGGGTTTTCTTTGTTTTCATTCTATTATTGTAGAGTCTTTACCTTACAATATAAAGTGCCTTGAGGCAACTGTTGTTGTTATTTGGGCTATATAAATAAAACTGAACTGAAACTCTCTCTCTGTGTCTCAGGTGTGTTTCTGGCCTGCTGGACTCCGTTCTTTGTTGTCCATGTCACCAAAGTTTTGTGCCAGTCATGCAACATTGGTCCCACACTCATCTCCGTGGTAACTTGGCTTGGCTATGTGAACAGCGCTGTCAACCCGATTATCTACACGGCCTTCAATGCAGAGTTCAGGAACGTCTTTCACAAACTGCTCTGCTGTCAGACGTGAAAGCAGATCAACATCCAACAGGAAGAAGCCCCAGCGTGGAACTCAACTCGACTCAAACACTCTCAGACTTCTTAAGGTTTTAATGTGTGCGTGCTCTTATTTTAAAAGTTTGGAGATGTTACAGCCCAGAGGCATAAAACCTGCGAACATGTTTCTGATATCTGACTGTTTCCGTGTTTAAAGTTTGCAGCTCATAAGAATTTACTTTGACTGTTTGTACAGTGTTTTTGTGAGTGAAGCAGAGAGCTTCATGTGGACCTGGATGTTTCCGTCAGTTTTGTGGTGAAGCTCGTTGAGGACAGATGGTGTTTGTAGTATTCTGATCTGTGGCATGAAGGTGATGAAATGTAGCTGAGCAAACTTCTGTGTCATTTGAACAAACACAATAAAGAGATTAAAGACTGTTTGATGGGAGCAGCTGATCTGTGGGGTAACAGCAGATACCCAGCAGGATGTGACTGCCCTGGGGGTGGGGGTCTTGGCCAGGTGAGTTTTATGTCACAGGTGGAGGTCTGGCAGCTCATTAAAAAGATGCAGAAGAAGAGTCAGGATGCAGCCCAGAGCCACTGATTCATCAGAGAAGCTCCAGTTTGTTCACCTGTTCTCGTGCTCGTCGCATCCAAGGCATCGCCTGTCTGCAGGCTGTCAGTGAAGCTGCTCATTCACCTTTTGTTTTAAAGTAATGACACCCCTCTGTGTGGGTGGAACTGCCTCCACCTGTCAGAACACTCCTGCAGATATCCGAGTTTGTGTATCTCTGAAGTAGCTTCATCACAGTCTGATGTGATGACCTCCTTCATCAGAGTGGGGAGACCCCTTAATGACCAGAGGTAACCATGGTGATGTGGAGCATCTCATCCACACATGTAATAAACATGGGTGTTCAGACGTCCATCTGGAAATCAGAGGGCTTTATTCTGCTCAAATGACTAAGTTTTGGAGCTGACTTTGCTTCATCTGTGTGTTGATTTAGTTTTACTCAACAAAAACATGTAGAGTAAAACATAGAGAGCTTTTCTATCTCAGCTTTGAGCTTCATCAAGACTCTGCAGACTCAGGGTGTCTGTGATGTAGCTGAAGCATGAACAGCACACAGACAGCAGCAGCTCTTCACTTCACAGACCAATTCCCAGGCCGTGTTTTATTAACTGACCCGTACAAACACCCGGGCCTCGGCCACCCTCTGCAAAACAAACTGAGAGCTGAAACACACACTCATGCTCAGCAGTGATGAAAACACCATAAAAACATGAACAAAGGCTGGAAATAAAAATGAGTGAAGGGCTGAAACACAGTATGCAAAAGTCTTGGGCCACCCCTCATTACTTTATAATCCAAGCAGCCAGATTTTTCTGTATTGTTAAAGTATTCTTGAGCAATAGCTCTGCAGCTTTCTAAAGGCTGCTTTTCACTGTTTTAGACCAGTCCTTGTATTGGAATGTTTTTTGTGTGTTAGAAGTTTGCGTGCCTGAACTTGCCACGGCACAGTGGCCCGTGGAAAAGGGATGGACTCGGTGTAACAAAAGAGTCTTTATTCACAACGCTTGGAAGCTAACAGAAAACTTAGACTATTATTAAGGAAATTAAACTAGACGTCTGAGGCAAGAGAAACTATGACCATAACAAAACTATGACTAGATAGCAGTGACGACTGGGTGCAGGGACTGGGCAGGGGAAACTTTGGCTGGCCAGGGCACTGAAACAGAGGAGAGAGCAGTCACGGGAATCCAACAGAGAGCTGTTAATCCGGGAATAATTACACTGGGCTGCCTTACGTGCTTGCAGGTGGAGGTTGCTTGGAGGGGGAAGACAGGAGACAAAGGTTCAGGTGAGTACTGCGTGAAATGCAGGGAGGCAGGCCAGAGAGACTGGCAGTTTGAAAGGGGAGACGTTACCAGCAGCTGCAAACCAGAATCCAGGAGAGCTTGTACGGAGGAGACTTGGTAGGTGGGTTCCAGATGCTGACGAGAAAACAGAGGAATAAGGTAAGTACACACGATGATACACCAAGGTACAGACGTGAGGCCGAGAACTGACTAAAGTTGGCAGATAATCTGGCGAAGACTAGTTGTGCGCAGGTCATAAATACTGCCGGTGTGATTGCCATCAGGTGAGGAAAAACAAAGACTCCACCTAGAGGGGAGGAACCGATGCAGTGGAAAACTACCCAGAGCATGACAGAACTCTGACCTCTGAATCAATCAAGCATGAAAAGGCTCCTAAATCAAGGATGAACCAGTGTTATGTCTGCATATAATAGACACCCGAGGAAAGAACCAGGTTTAAATTGTGTCTTTAGGCTCTTTATTACTAGCAGCATGTCACACAAACACAACAAGGTGATTCCACAAGAGCTGTTAGCTGACAACTTGGAATTGGTTTTCAGCATGGTGTGCAGTGTGTCCCTAAAAATAAGAGAGAAATATGTACAGAAGAAGTGTGAGGGCTAAACCTTTCTACAACAGATGAACAGGATCTGAAAGTCATTAAAAAAAATCCAGCAAAGACCTGACAGAGGAGCTGAGAGATGATCTGGACCTTCAGCTGATCATCTACTGTTCACTCAAGTCTCGCCAGAATTGTTCTCAGCTGTCAAGAGGCTGTTCTTAATGAAGGGAAACAGGGAGGAAAGACTGAGGCATGAAAATGACACTAGAAGTGGACTGAAAATTAGAGGAACAGCTCTCTGTGTGCTGACAGAGGCTTTCAGGCCTGATAGTATATGAAGAAGAAGCTGCTGAGCAGCAGCTGAGGGAGGAGAGACACATCAACATGTCCTGTCAGGACTGATTTACCAGATATACAACTGAACCTCCACCGAGGTACTGCGGACATGCATGTAATAACACCTGAACCCTGAGGCCTCTGGAGGTGACCTAAAATGTAGTCTAGTTTCTGAAACCGTGAATGTGTTAACATGTTGGGTAAGTGGGACTGACTGTGATCAAAAATCAGCTTTTACTTAGGCTTTAAAAACTGGACCTTCAGGGGAACATGAACATAGCTGGCAGATCTTCCCAGACTTGTACTAATGACCTCAATGCTGGATCACCTCCATGATCAGTACACAGTGACCTCCCTGCAGCAGGATCGCTGTTTCAGCTTCCTCTCACTTATCTCATATCCAAATGATCATTCAGGAGGAACAGGAAGCTCTGGCCTTGGTCAGACGACCAGAGACAGATCTGAGATCCACATAAAGGTCAGAGCAGCAGAACAAAGACACAGCAGCTCAGCCGGACAAATTAACCTTTAAATAATGCTGAAGGCGGAAAGATGAGGATGAGAAAGACGAAGGTGCAGGATAATGGTGAAGGGTAGGGGTGCTCCAGGTTTTAAAACAGGATTTAAATGTGGAGAAGAACAGCTGGACACACAGTGTTGATCACAGGATTCACGCCTGAGTGTGTTCAGCAGGTCCTTTCCACTGTGAAAGCAATGAGTCACTGACATGAGTCAGGCCACAGAAGAAGAAGAAGAAGAAGTAGAAGAAGAAGAAGAAGAAGAAGAGCACCGTGTGTGGCGCTGACTCTCCCAGCATGGTTTGGTGTTTTGAGTGTTTGTAATCTGAGCTCATCGGTCAGGTTTCCCATCTGCAGACTGAAACAGTCAGAAATATCTGAAGCTTGCCGTTTGCTATCAGAATGAAACGTGATGGTTCAGGGCTGATCGGCGACTCTGTTCACTAGTCTGCACAGAAAATGATGCTCGATGTCATCGATGAAGCTGTGAAATTACTCCCTGTTTGAGGAACCAAATGACACAAGTTTTCTATCAACAGTATCTATGAACAGGCTGCAGGTAATCCCTACACTGAATGTAAACCAATGGCCTTCTGCTTCAGTCCCACTTACAAGACATGGTAATAGTGTAAGACATGGTCATAGTGTTCCTGGGGTAGAGACTATATGAATCTCTTAGGATTTCCACAACTTTGACAAAACACAATGAAAAGGCTTATTGAGTCCATTAATAATATTACAACCACAAAGTGCAACAATAAACACATTCTTTTAAAAAATAAATTAACATAAACACACTTGTCCTCCCATCTGCCTTTTTAACTGTATTTGTTAAACATAATAAATTGGTTTGTTTTTAACTGTTTTAATACTTGTTATGCCACTAAACAATTTACATGATATGTTTTTTTTTAATCAACTGACAATGTGACACCTCTTTTATCGTTTTTTCACCTCCTTTACAAAAATAATTTAAACTTACTGTTTTAATGCAATCTACAAACTATATAAAGTGCAATGCTCCTTTTAATGGGGGGCTCTCTTACTGAGTTGAACCTAGGCAGTCACCATTAATGATAAAGTAACTTCATTAACTAATAGCCGGCATTAAAGTACAAAAATGTTCTCATAGCCAGAAAAATACCACATAGTATGAAAACTGTTGAGCTCAGCAGTAGTTCAGCAGTTTCTTGTTTGGTTTAGGTTAACTTACACACACACACACACACACACACACACACACACACACACACACACACACACACACACACACACACACACT